TTAACCAATCATGTTATCCACCTCTCTCTGCTAAATCTCTGCTTTTAGATACACCACATTTGACTTCCCTGATTGCCTTCCAGCCAATTATGATTTTCTAACTTTCAGTTCCTGCTCCAACTGTGAACATTTGTTTTCTTCCTCATTGTCCAAAGGAGCAGCGATTTTCACTCTGAATTTGGATGTCATCCTGGTCTGGATCATCTCTACACCTCAGCAAACCTCTTTTGCTTTTACTTAAACATGCTCCATGATCTTGCTTTATGACAATGTCAAAGAAGAACAGTGCTCCAGAGGGTTTTCAATGATTGATCTTGCAGAAGTAGATTGCCAGGACTTTGTTCTGAGGTGCCTGTGGATGGCTTTAAACCTCCAACCTTTTGGTTTACAGCTGAGTTCTTAACTGTTGGCACCACCCAGGGACTCCACCTATTTGTTACTACTGTTATTAGGTGTCATCGAGTCAATTTCAACTCATAGCAAAACCATGTGTTCAGAGTAGAATTGCCCCAGCAGGTTTTTAGCTGTAATCTTTACAGAAGCAGATAACCAAATTTTTCTTTTGCTGAGCTGCTAGGTGGGTTTGAACCAACTCTTTATGTTCAACCTCTTGCATCACCAAGGCTCCTTTCCAATTATTTAGGCAGCTTAAAAAACAAAATTCCTGGTGTCTGGGCTCCCTCTCAAACCATTGAAACCAGAACCTCTGGACCCAGCCATCGGCATTTTTTAATGGTCCTCGGGTGATTGGCATATTCATGTAGATTAAGAATCACTGCTTTCAAACAAGGCTCAGATGAATATTAAACCAGCTTGAGTAAAACACTATGGGGTAATAAATTTTTACCTCTAGTGCTTCCTTAAGATAAAAGATATTAAATTTAAGTATTGGAAATAGAAACATATCATACAGGGTTATTTGAGTACCAGATATTAAAAATTTCTAGGATAGAATAAATCAGTTTCTAGTGTTTTTTGAGTAACTTTACCAATACTTGATTTAGGCCTTTGTTGTTGTTATGTGCCATTGAGTCGGACCCGACTCATAGCGACCCCTCCTTGGGTTTCTGAGGCAGTATCACTATGGAAGTAGATTGCCCAACCTTCCTTCCGAGGAGTGGCTGGTGGGTTTGAACCACCAGCCTTCTGGTTAGCAGTCAAGTGCCTTAGGCACTATGCTACCAGAGCTCCTATTTAGGCCTTTAGTCATGCACAATTCACTTTGGTAACCTGTTAGCAACAGATTATAATATGCAGGTGAAATGCAAATTATCATATGAAGTACGCAGAGAAATATGGAACAAGAGTTGAGGTTGATTTGGGGAGAATTTAAAATTATGGCCATGAACAGACTTGATCTACCCTCCCTTTGCTTCCAGGAAAGAATCTGCACAGGTATATTTATTTACCTAGATGATCTCCAGTGTGGTAACTCTTAATTGTACACCTCAGATTTTGGAAAATGCTGAAAGAACCCATTTCCAATCTGGATAATGACATAAGGATGTTGGCAGATTATCCTGCCTCTTGATCTCAGGGAGGTTAGCTTTATTTTTTTCAATGAAGTATGCAGTTGAAGAAGATCCAGTACCAGATGGTAATGTTGGCTGGAGTGGTTTTCTCACCTACGTTTGGCAGCTCTGCTCGGAAGTAGTGCTTTCAATGCCTAAGACATTCAATCTATACTATTTAACATGATCGTTGGGAAGCTGTAGGTGGTATAGGTGCAATGACACATCTCATTAAAGGTCTGGTAATTCTGAATATCTGACATCTGTGCTGATAATAAGACTGGATACAGCCTTCAAATGGTTATAGATTCAAATGATATATATATATATTTTTTTTTAAAGGTACTACTGAAATTCATTATATTAGCCAACTTGTAATTTCTGGGCATGTTTGACATGGGAAAATAGTACATGAGTTAATTGCCTGGTCATCTTAAAGATGGCCTTCCTTTAATCGGGTTCTCTCCTTACCAGCATTTAGGCAACAATTTTACCTGATGATTTATTCATCAAATTAATAATAGTGGTAGTAATAATAGCTATCATGATTTGAACCCCTATTATGTGCTAGGATACTTTATGTATAAACTATAATCTTCAAAAGGTATTCTTATTTTTTTTATTGAGGACCCTGAAACTCAGAGATTAGGGAACTTGCCAAAGACCATTGAAACTCCGAAGTGACACAGCCAGGATTCTGCAGCTGTCTGGCTGCCCAGCAGGGTCTCTGTCCATCTTATCACCAACCCCTGCAGTGTACAGCAATAGCATCAACAATCAATCTTATAAACTGCAACATGTGGCTTTTCATAAAAGTTTTCCTATATTTTAGTATTTCAACTGGAAAAAAATCCAATCAGATGCAGCCTCCCACGAGCTTACTATCAAAATAGTCTTTATCACATTAAAAAAATAACACCCTGATTCTTCATGTACATTTCTAGGTGCCTTAACTTTAGCTTTTTTAAACACTGCCAGATTCTTTTCATCAGAGATTTTAATGAGCTTAGGGGAAGAAAAAACAACCCACAAACCTGAATGTGTTCATCTGAAATTTGACTTGGCTCTTCATAGCTGCAGAAATTCATTTTCACCTGTTCCTCATCCCCCTCCCAAGGTCCTAAAGCTTAGATCCATTGGGAGTCTCCTCCATTTCCCACAGGAAATATTTCATTCATATAATGTCTCCTTTGTAATCAACACTGAGAAATGTCACTTTGATTAAATACAACTCTGAATGACTAAGACCACAGTACAATAAATTCTCCAGAGCTATCTTTCAGAACAACTGATTGCTCTCCAGTCTTAATCCTCCAGAGTCTTATTTAATCAAAATGATGTTGCTAATTAAGGATTAAAACCACCGAATAGAATAAAAAATAAGGATTTTTCTTTCTCCTTTGGGCAGGTCAAAGATGCAGAATTTGCTATAAGGAACTAGAGTCCCTTCCACCTTTGGTAAAATTGCATTAGTCTCTGACATTTGGACTTAATCCAAAACAAACCTAAGTGCTTGGTAATGTTAATATAATTGGGAGAAAAGAGAGAAAGAGGGAGAGAAAGGAAGGAAAGAAAGCAAAAAGGAAGGAAGGAAAATAGGAAGAGGGATTGAAGGCGGGAAGGAGGAAGAAAGGAGGGAAGAAAAGAAAACATGAAAGAGGAGGAAGAAAGAAGGGAGGAGGCAAGAAAAGAAGGAAGAAATTGACTTAGCTAGCTACATATATCCCAGAAAACATTTATTCTAAATTTTTATGTTTAATGTTTTAATATGAACTTACTTTAAATACGCTGTTTGATAAGGAGTTCTGGTGATAGAGTGGTTAAGGTATTTGGCAGCTAACCAAAAGATTGGTGGTTCAAACACACCAGCTGCTGTAGGGAAGAGAGATGAGGCAGTCTGCTTCTGTAATGATTTACACCCTTAGAAACCCAGTGGGGGTTGCTATGAGTTGTAATCACCTTGATGGCAGTGAGTTTGGTTTTTTGGGTTTGTATTGTTTGAGGAGCTCTGGTGGTACAGTACCTAAATTGGGGGTTCAAACCCACCAGCTGCTCCATGAAAGGAAGATTGGACAGTCTACTTCTGTAAAGGTTTATCATCTCGGGTTGCTATGAGTCTGAATTGACTTGATGGCAGTGAATTTGGTTTTTGGTTTTAGTATGCATGGTTTCAGAGGAGCTCTGGTGGCATAGTGGTTAAAACACTTGAGTGCTAACCAAAAGGTAGATGCTTTGAACCCACCAGCTATTCCATAGGAGAAAGATGGGGCAGTCTGCTTGATTAAAGATTTACAGCCTTGGAAACCCTATTGGGCAATTCTATGCTGTCCTGTAGGGTCACTGTGAGTCAGAATTGACTTGATGGCCATGGCGTTTTATTTATTTATTTTCATGCATTGTTTTGATCTATATTGTTAATGTGAATGGAAAGACTCAGAATAATTTGGAAAAATGTTGCCAATCCATTTCACACACAGAAAAGAAGGAACAAAAGACTTAAGGTATCTCAGATCTATTTAATGTCCACTAATGAGTAACAGGCGGTTCAAACCCACCAGCCACTCCTCTGAAGGAAGGTTGGGCAATCCTACTTCCGTAATGATACTGCTTCGGAAACCCAAGGAGGGGTCGCTATGAGTCGGGGCCAACTCGACAGCAAAACAACAACAACAACAATGATTAACAAGAAAAAATAAATTTTATATTACATGATGACTGTTTTCCTTTTAAATCTAAGTTTCAGTTTTCTTCTTGAAGTTGTATTTGGTACTAGAAATTGTTTTCTTAAAAACCACACAAACTGTATAAGGACTCATTAGGAGAGACAAAGGTTCGAAGAAAGGCAGTTTGATTTCCATGGAATAAAAACTGTTTTGGGTCTTATGGGTAAAGTGGGTGAGAAATACAGGTGCTAATTGATGCCTTATAAATTCTAAAATACTTCTTCCAACCTTCTCATCTTCTTTCTGAATTGTCCTGTGAATTTATAATTCCTGCCAAATTAGTCTATTACAGTGTAGACATAATTGATAACGATTACTATCTATTGATTATTATGGGCCAGGTTCTTTGCCAGCAATATGTATATTATCACCTCTAGTAAAACTAAAGCTTAAAGAGAATAAATTATTTGGTCAAGGTCAGGTGGCTTACGTTGAGTTTAGACTTCCACCCAGACTGATTTGGTTCTAAAGCCATGTTCTGTCCAACATGAGAAGTCATTTCACATCTATTTACTTGGAGGATAAATGGATCAATAATGTCTTGGGAAGATGCCAGTAAACGGTATTGGTCTATCTGACTCATATGTTTCCACAATAACTGACTGAATCATTGTCATAGACATGTCATATCACCACTTACCTTGTCCAAACAATGACAAAGATTGAACAACTGTCATCAAAATGGGACCACAAAGTAAACAATGAGAAATCCCCAAAGAAAAAGAATGTCAGAAATCTGTTTCCTCTCCTAAGCAGTGTTACCTACCAGTTAAAAAATGACGTTTGTTTCTTTGATTCATGTTCCTGGAGGCCATACGCACCAAGTGGACAAACTATGGCTCTTACTCCTCCTGTGCCGAGGCAGATGGTCAACAGTGCTATGTAAAACAGTCTCTTCTGCTCTTTCTTTGTTATATTATTAATCACATGGTAAGAGCCCATATAGAAATCTTCTGAGGGAAAGGCAACCACAGATAACAAAGCAGTGCCTGTAGGTAAACAGGGGAATAAATGTAGCTTAGACTAACTGAATTACCAAATCAGCTCAGAAAGTAGCATCACTATGAGACTGTCTTATTAAAATATTTACATTTAATGATTGAAATTTTGGGGATAGCCTGCTTTTTCTAAGGGTGACTTCAATTAGTGTTCAACTAATTCAGAATCCTAACAGTTTTTGCCTCCAGCTTGAACTATCTTTTCTCTCAGAATGTATAAGCAAATCAAGTCTATTTTAACAAAATTAAAACAATTCACAAATGCATTATATAGGAAACTAAGATGTCTGTAATCTTTACCCGCAGAGAAAACCACCATTATCAAAGGTTATTTGTTCTTAATCAGTAGAGTGATAGAAAATTCGATGATCTCAGACATCTCAGAGGGCTGTTACATACAATTTTTTAAGAAGAATATTATTCTAGTTAGAGGAGAACATAACCTTTCTTTTTTTTCTTTCCTACTTTCTCTTCTCTCATTTCTCAGGGTGGAATCTTCTTTACCCATGCAAGAAGTTAGAAGGTTGCAGAAAAAGAGGAGTGTGAATCCGGTAACATAGCCAAGTGGGGAGAAAGGGAGGACAAAGGAGGCTTAAGGATCCTTCTCACATTCATCTTACAGGGACCATACTTGAGACCTTAAAAATATAATTCAATTCCTTGCTTTTGTTAAATTCTGTAGATTTTGCAATATATTTTCACATACTGTATTGTTTGTTGTTGTTATGTGTCATCGAGTCGGATCAGACCCATAGTGACCCCTCCTTGGGTTTCCAAGGCAGTATCACTACGGAAGTAGATTGCCCAACCTTCCTTCCAAGGAGTGGCTGGTGGGTTTGAACCGCCAGCCTTCTGGTTAGCAATCAAGTGTTTAGTACTAGAACAACTTTAATATCAAAGGATACATTTTGTTACTTCAGTTTTTCAGATAAAGAAACACGTTCAATAAAGTTAAGGGTCATGCCCAATGTTACAGAGCTATCTGGAGCAATTTCCCTCTTTCTGGAATTTCTTTCACTAAGTGATCAAATCATCATTTTTCAAAAACAGCATTTTCTTATCAGGTTATAAAAGCAATACATTCTTATTTCAGAAAATTTAAAAAGTTAGAAAAACACTCAGAATATTATTAAAGACCCATAATCTCATGACAAAGAGAAGGCCTTTACTATTTATTATAATTTTATGAATGTATTTTGCTTAAATAAAAAATTGAGATTACACTGTTGACTTCAACATAATCAAACAATATAAACAATTTCTAATATTTTATATTCTTTATATTCCACCTGAATTTAGAGACCACCTCTAGAATAGATTTGACACATTGAACACTACAGACCAAAGACCACTCAAGGACACCATACATGAAGGTCATTAAAAAGACAGGAAATAAGGAAAATACCAAAATGTATGTCAGAAAAGACCCTAAACTTACTGAACATACACTAGCTAAAGGGAATGGAAGAAATGATAAAGTAAAAACACTGACAACAAAATTTCAAAAGGCAGCTCAAGAAGACAGGGTAAATTACTATAATGAAATGTGCGAAGACCTGGTGTTAGAAAAGCAAAAGGGAAGAACACACTCAGTATTTCTCAAACTGAAAGAACTGAAGACAGAATTCAAGCCTTGAGTTGCAATACTGAAAGACTCTATGGGCGAAATATTGAACAACACAGAAAACATCAAAAGAAGATGGCAGGTATACACAAAATCACTGTACCATGAGATAGTATATGATCAAGAACAGATAGTATTTAGGGAAGAAATCCAAGCTGCGCTGAAGGCATTGGTTAAAAACGGCTCCAGGAGTTGACAGATGCCAACTGAGATGTTTCAATGAATGGAAGCAATATTAAAAGTGCTCACTCATCCATGCCTGTCCAACTGACTGGAAGGGATCCATATTTATACCTCCTTCAAAGATAGGTAATTCAATAGAATGCAAAAATTATTAAACAATATTACTCATATCACATACAAATAAAATTTGCTGAAGATAATTAAAATAGTTGCAGCAGTACATCAACAGGGAATGCCGGAAATTCAAGCCAGATTCAGAAGAGGACATGGAACGAGGGGTATCAATGCTGATGTTAGATGGCTCTTGGGTAAGAGCAGAGAATACCAGAAAGATGTTGACCTGTGTTTTATTAACTATGCAAAGACATATCACTGTGTGGATCATAACAGATTATGGATAACATTGTGAAGAATGGCTATTCCAGAACACTTACTTGTGCTCATGAAGAACCTATACATAGACCAAGAGGCAGTCGTTTGAATAGAGTCAGAGATTCTGCTTGGTTTCAAATCAGAAAAGGTGTGTGTCAGAGTTAAAACCTTTCACCATAGTTTTTCAATCTCTGTGTTAAACAAATAATGTGAGAAGCTGGAATATATGAAGAAGAATGCAGCATCAGGATTGGAGGGAGATTTATTACCAACATGAAATATACTGATGACATCACCTTGCTTGCTTAAAATGAAGAGCACTGAAGCACTTACTGATGAAAATTGAAGACTACAGTCTTCAGTACAGATTACACCTCAGCATGCAAACCAAACTAAACTAAATGCCATCAAGTTGAGTCAGATTCATAGCAACTGTCATTGGGTTTCCAAAGCAGTAAATCTTTACAGAAGCAGACTGCCTCATCTTCCTTCCATGGAGCACCTGGTGGTTTCAAGCCACCAACATTTTGTTACCAGCCAAATGCCTTAATAACTACAAAGTCAGAGCTCCTATACCTCAACATAAAGAAAACAAAAATCCTTGCAACTGGACCAAGAAGCAAAAAGAGTGAAGTTGTCAAAGATTTCATTTTACTTGGATCCACAATCAAGGCCCATGGAAGCAGCAGTCAAAAAACCAAATGATGTATTACATTGGGCAAATCTTCTGCAAAAGACCTCTCAAAAATGTTAAAAAGCAAAGATGTCACCTTCAGGACTAAGGTGCGCCTGACCCAAGCCATAGTAATTTTAACTGCTTCATATGAGCATGAAAGCTGAGAAATAAGGAAGATCGAAGAATAACTAATGAATAATTAATTATTATGTTGGCAAAGAATATTGACTACACCGTGGACTGCCAGAAGAATGAACAAACCTATTTTGGAAGAAGTACAGCTGGAATAATCCTTAGAGGTGAGGATGGTGAGACTTCATCTCACTTACTTTGGACATGTTACCAGGAGGAAACATTTCCTGATGAAGGATATCAGCTTTGCTAATATAGAGGGTCAGTGCAAAAGATAAAGACTCTCAACAAGATGGATTGATACAGTGGCTGAAACAATGGCTTATGCACAATGATTGTGAGGTAGGCACAGAACTGGACAGTGTTTTGTTCTGTTTTACATAGAGTCACTTCGAGTGGGAATTGACTCAGCACCTAACAACAACATCTAACGTAATTTCTAATGATGATGTGTCATTCTAACCATAATTTATTTAGAAATGCCTTTCCAGTTGTTTTGCGTGAATACTGCCAATATATCCTTTCATAAAATTTTGTACATATCTATGATCATTTCCTTAGCCTAAGCTCTTAAAGTTATTCATGTTGTCATAGCTTTTTAATATCATTGACAAAATGTTCTTTAGATATATAATTATTTAAACTCTCCCTATCATTTTATGAGATGACCTTCTTCAACATTAGTTACCATCACTAATTTATTTATTTTTTGCCAGTTTGATGATAGAAAAATGTTTTTTTTATATTGTTTTTGTTCTTCATTTTATTAATTTGGCATTAACATTTTTTGGTATTAAATTTGTATGTAGTTGTTTTATGTGGTTAGTTTCCCCAACTAGATTATATAATCCTTACATGCGGAAAAAAAAAAAAAAGGAAAAAAATGGGTCTAATGTTTCCATCACCTCTATGCAAGGTGAAACATACATGCACTTAACAGTTATTTACTGATTTAATGTGAAGGTGGAACTTTTAAATTATTGACTTTGAAAATTTCCTTTGGAGGTTAGCTGCAAGTAGAATGATCTTACTCTCCCTCTTTCTCTCTTTCTCTCACTCTCTCTCTCCCAATTAGTCTTCTTCTCTGGCAGTGATGTGAGCCAGGCTAGGCAAAGGATTATCCAAATAGGATGGACAGAAGAATAACCTTCTTCAGTAACCATTTATTTCAAGCCAAGGCACTTTTAGTCCATATGATGTCATTATGTAAGTAAGAAAGATGCTTTACTTCTATCTTTTGGGAAAACATAATTTTGTTAGATCACACTTGTGATGGTTATGTTTGTGTGTCAGCTTGGCTAGGCCGGATTAAGTGGCTGGGCAGCTGGATGTAGTATTCCCCATGATGAGACTGGTAATCAACTCCATGGTGGAATCTACTGGCAGCAGCTGAGTGGCTAGCTGCCTTGGGGAATGTGGTTTGCTTCCTGTATTTAAGGAGAAGCCTTGGTAATGGTCTCTAGCCTTTGGCAAGCTTGGCCCCTGCACATAGCTGTGTTGTTGCTCAGCAGGCTGCTATGCTCTGCTGACCTTGGGACTTAAAATGGACTTAAGTTAATGGCCTGTCAGGTGGTTTGGTAACATCGGGACTGTGCCTTTTTACTTGTCAACATTGGGGGGTTCTCAGCCTCAGGAGCCAGCAGCTGTCTGAGTGAAGAAATGCCTCTAGCTTCAGTGGGCTGGGAGCAGGAGGCAAAGCTGGACCCCAAGGTTGAGGGGCTTTCACCCAGACCCTAGAGCTTGGCACTTTGAACTTGGACTGAAAGCCTCCAAATTGTAAGAATAAACTCCTGTTTGTTAAGGCCATCCCATTTGTGATATATTTCTCGTCAGAATGGCACTAGGTAACCAGAACAACACTTTATTTCTATCTGCTTTAAAAATTATGGAATAAAAACAAAAGTTTATGACATGTACAATAAAATAATCTCCTCTTTGGGATGGTGCTCTTGTGCATGCACAGTTAGCACACGTATACTGTATGTGCTCGGAATCTAGCTCCACAATGTGCCATATTCCCTGCTAAGTGGTAGAGGTCTACTCTTCTGCTCTCCAAGAGCTAATGAGTCCATCAGAGAAGGCAGGCATGGAAACGGGCAATTATATTATAAATTGATAAATGAAATCATATATGTGTGGCCAAAGCACAGTTGAGCACAGAGGAGCAAGCAACAAATACTTTACAGGTCTTTAAAGAAAAGCAGGAGTTTTCAAGTCTTGGATATGGAGTGGGAAGCTGAAGGAAGGCAAAATTTCAGGTAGAAAGAAGAACATGTAAGATTAGGAAGGTGGAGAAGAAGGTAAGAAGTTCAGGTTTTTTTTTTTTTTTTTTTTTTTAATGAAAGGGAAGTCTGCAGAGGTAAATTTGGGATAGATTTTAAGAGACCTTGTATATGAAATTAGTAAGTTTGGATTTTATCTTTTATGTAATAGGGCCAAAATGTAGATTTATTTTTTCAGGAAGTAAATGTTATTGGCAGCATTGTACATAGACTAGAGTCAACAGATGACTGGCATGGCATTAAGTTAAGAAAAAAGCTCCATTTTTGAACTAAAGTTGTAGCAACTCAGAAAGAAGAGATATTTCTGACAAAACTTCTGGTATTTAGTGAATGGTTGAAATTTGATGGCAGCTGAGTCAGTTACACTAGGAAATATAGTAAGAAAATAAATGGACATGAAGTTGACACAGGTTTTTTATTTGCCAAATTCGGAAGATGGGACACCAGTTTTAATATGATGACTTACATGGGAACTTGTACCAATAGGAATTAGCATGTTTAACAAGAATTTACCAAATGCTGCTTATGTGGTCAGTAGAGTAGTAGTCTGTCACCACATTGAATACATTACTCAGGTCTTTGTTTAAATGTTTCCATATTAGAAAATATTCCCTGATGTACCTACACAGAATGGCCACCCTGTCACTATCTGTTCCCTCCTGTCCCCTTATCCAGCCTTTTTTCCTTCATAACACTCACTACCTGTCATGTATTGATTTACTTGATTATCTCCATTCTCCATTGCATTCCAATATCCAAGAATATTTGTAGAAGAAATATAGAGATATTTGTAGAAGGTTAAATGAACATTTGCCATGCAGAGTCTTTATTTCACAGAATTTAAGCAATGAAGAAGTTTCCAAGTTTGCATCACACTTTAATCTTAATTTGGTGAATGGTAAACTGCTCAAAATTGTGGGATACATTGAGTTCCTGATACCCATTCCTTCCTCGTTCAGCAGGAACGTGGTGCAATGTGCATTTCTGTTGCACTTCTCATCATTGATGAATGGCACTCTACTTTTCTAAGTTCATCAGCTCACAATCTTGGAGTTAATTTTTGTTCCATCCATTTGGGACTTTATTTAGTCAACAAGAGTTATAATTTTTCGTATGGTCTCTCGTGGATTGACAATTCTCCGTTGTCAAGACCATCATCTGGAGATTTCCTGGTATCTCTCTAGTTAACCTCTCCCTGTGGTTGCCTATCCTGCTCATTGAAGAGAACTTTTCTCTATTTTTGTTTTTACCATATCTTCATCATATCTTGTTGCCTAGAAGAACAACATGAACTCTTCAGGCTAAAATTCTAGATTGTCCATCAACTGGTTCTTTGTGCTTTATAAAACTATATTAATAATATGATTTTTCATAGTCACATCATTCCCAAACTTTTATAGATACTTTATTTTCTCTATGCAGTAAAGCACAGGCTAGTGTCTGAATTCCTTTTTTTTGTTTTTAAGCATATAGCCACAATTTATAATATAGAAATCATACCTTCATATGCAACTTTACTATATGACTAATTAAAAAGCCACTTTTGATGAAAGCATATTTCTCATTTATCCTACATGAACTTCAAAAACCTTTTTAACACATTTCATCTCACTTGTGAAAGAATTAAATTTCATGTTTCACATACATTTGTCATGAATTTAAGCTTAGGGTAAGAAAAGAGGTGAGGAGGGCATTCTAAAAAGTATTGAAGACAGACATGCAAAGAGGTAATTACTATGAAATATAGTTAAGTGCAATGATATAGGTATCATCTAATACATACACATATATAAACACACACACATACCTTTACTAGAGAATATCTTCAAACAATACAGAGGATGACAAAAATAGAAACAACATTCTTACTCTATTTACCACATTTTATCCTAAAAGCAATGTGGGAATAATATAAACTAAATTATTTTCATAAAAATTGATACAGTTCAGATGCAAAACAATTCAATTATGGAGGACACTCACCTAGAAAATGCAGAAATAAGCAAATACACACCAGTCTGTTTCTTCCTACACAGACATCAGCAAGCCATCCTGCAAATACAGGAGCAAGTAGTGAAGTTCCAATAAAACATAAGTTCAAAATGGCTGCCTGGTAATTGCGATAGCCAAGCTTGATAGTGCAAAAGGGGATCATATTGCTGACAACTTCAAAGAAAGTGAATCTCTCACATAGCTCCACCAGAAGCAAACAGATTCCAACCTGGATTTTTTTCACAGAGTATGATGAAGAGAAATAACCAACATCTCTTACAGTTTTCTCCTTCTCAATGCTGTGATTTAAGGATATTTTTGCATCAGCTATTTTAAAGTCTATAAGAGACATGACTATCCTTGAATACAACTTGTGTTAGTGGTTTTAACTTGGTGATTTTTACCCCTGCCTCTCTAATGAAAAAATAAATAAGATCTTTGCTTTGAATTTCACATCTCCATGCTAAAACTTTGTAAGATTTTTTGCACCTTAATGTTACTCATTTTGATGATAGAAGCACAAAGTAGGAGACATGAGTATTTAATTTTTAATGGTAGCCCAGAGTAGCCAAATCTGATTTGTTTGTTAATTACTTAGATGCTAAATTAAGCTTTTTCCTTCAAAATTATATTGAATTACATGACTCCTGTTGCATATGTATGGAAACTCATCTGCCTCACACTGATAAAGGTTTAAATACCAAGGCAGAAGAAACAGTTTTTCAGGAGATGTTGAGCACTAGGACTAGAAATAATTCGAGTCTAGTAATTTTTGATACTTTAATTAAACAAGCCAGAATAGTACCAAGAGATAAAGTGTGAAAGAAAATCTGTTTTTGAGGGGGCAGTATATCTTATCATTATTACATTTCTTGTTATTTTTGGTTAGAATTCTGATAAGAAAGTTAATTAGGTAACAAAAGTGCTAGTACATTTAGGTAACAAGCAGAGTTTACAAGAAAGTAATTTAAGTGCACTAATGAAAAGAGAAAATATTAAACAAAAACCCTCTTCCTTCGAGTTGACCCCATACTTGTAGACCAGCCTCTCAGAGGAAATCAGAATCAAAAGATGTTATTTGACTCCCTTATTATTAGCTAGCAGCCAGGCATACAGCCACCAGCCTTTCCGTGCTTTGGGGAATATTGGGTCTGGTATCACCCCTACCCTCCACTGAGCTGAATGGATGGTGGCATTCTATTTTGGAAAGCAGGAGGGCACCAATTAAGCTAAAAAGCAGCAGCAAAAGAAAATACTTCAACATTTAGGGATTTAACTGCAAGGACTTAGGAAGACAAGGGACTGAAGCTATTCTGTCAAAGTCATAATAATTCAATAATAGAGAGCAAGTGTTCTTCATGTTGGAGTCAATAGCAAGAAACTTACAAAGGCTTTTGACTGGGATTCTTATCTTTGTACCTGAGAAATTGGAAACAAATCTCTGTTTTGACTCCTAATATTCCCTGTTTGCATCTGCTCAGCATCATTTCCCCCTTTTTGGTAACAATGCCTTATTTTTCCTTCATGTAGAGTGATCATGTAATTTATTATCCAAAGTTGGATAGTTTTGCGAGTAGAAATTATGTTATTTGTAGTTATTCTTGGACAACATGTATAAACTGAAACTGTCTAGAGCAAATGCCAACGTGTGATTACCCTACCTTTGGGGAACTACTCTATTTCATGAGATCCTGGTAGAGCTATTAAATGGAGCTATTAATCAGAGTATCCCTTTTCTTTTGACCAAGGGGGCAGCACATGGCTGAAGATGGTTCTTTTACTTTTTCTACCCAGAAGTTTTTAATTATAAATGGAATGACTGAAGAGTGGGTATGGTGATTAGACTGTCCTAAGAGCCAAAAAATTCACCAAGGAGATACACTCCTTAGAACAATCAACCATGGGGAATCAGAAGGGCAGCATTTGTGCAGGGAGAAAGCTAGGGATGCGGGAATGCATAGATAAGAAGGACACAGGGAAGGGGTAACCTCAGGAAGGAATTGAGAGGAAACCTGTTTCATTGTTGGGAGTATAATCAGTGTCACAAAACAAAATATGAAATGTCAAAGGGAAAACAAATCTGCTCTGTAAAACTTCATACAAATCACAATTAAAAGTATTTAAAAAATAATGTATGCAGTGGATGCTGAGTCATTCAGATTGTTAGTTGCCATCAAATGAGCTCTGACTCTGTGACCCCCCGTACAACAGTACACAATATTGCCCAGCCCCTTCACAATCACTGGTATGCCCATGCCCATTGTTATGGCCACTGTGTTTTTTGAATGTTTTCAAACATAGGAACTCGTCTTCCAGCACTATATTGGACAACATTCTGTTGTGCTCCTTATGTTCAGAAGTAGATCACCAGGTCTTTTTTCCTAGTCATTCAGATGGCAACGCCTAAAAGGAATTGCCCGTAAGTCCCTGAGGGAGAACTCAGGGCTGCCTGGTTCTTAGCCTTCCGGAGGCATGCTTGTTCAGTATTTCTTTCCGTCATTTTGGTTTAGCCAAGTTAACCACACTTGGTTTTGGTGGCTCATAAAGAACCCATAAGTTTTTGTTTGCCTGAGATACAAGGGGAAATTTCCCAGCAGCCATTAACTAACAGATGTGTTTAACCAGCTCCTGACGAAGGACTCTGGTAGTGTTATTTCCCAAGCAAAGTAACTCCGCCCCTTCCCAGGGCCTAGTGCTGATCCTATTTGAATCCTTTGGCTTGTCTCTGTACCCTCACCCAACAACAGGCCACAGCTGGTGGAAACCACCAGCATTTGCCTTTCTTTGAAGGAGCTATTTGATAACACTCCAAGAGAGTTACCTACACAAAAATAATGCTCTGTGAAGAGGGGAAAAAAAAAACACACACACACACACACACAACAAATCTGACAATAGAATTGTAATAAGGGCAAAATAGTTATCAGAAAGGACACTCATTAAATTGGAAGTTAGAAGCCTGAATTTCATTCCTGACACTTTGTTACTCAAGGGAAATTGCTTTGTGTCTATGAGCTTATTACATCAACTGTGAAAAGGAGCTCTGGTAGCATAGTGCCTAAGGCACTTGACTGCTAACCAGAAGGTTGGCAATTCAAACCCACCAGCCACTCCTGGGAAGGAAGGTTGGGCAATCTACTTCCATAGTGATAAGGCCTTGGAAACTGAAGGAGGGGTTGCTGTGAGTCACGTCTGACTCGCCAGCACATAACAACAACAACAACAAAAAAACTTAGATGACCATTTCTGAGGATTGGTTTAGAAAATGACTGATGAAATGTCAAGGACCATACATGAATAGGGAGCTCTTGGCACAGTTGTTAAGTGCTTAGCTGCTAACTGATAGATCAGCAGTTCAAACTTACCCAGCTTCTCTGTGGGAGGAAAATGTGGCAGTTTACTTCCGTAAAAATTACAGCCTTGGAAACCCTTTTGGCAATTCCCCTCTGTCCTGTGGGGTTGCTATGAGTTGGAATCAACTTTATTAAAAACAAAACAAACAAACAAAACACAAAACTCACTGCCATAGAGTGGATTTCGACTCATAGCAATCCACACTGGGTTTCTGAGGTGGTAAATCTTTATGGAAGTAGGTTGCCCAATGTTCCTTCCATGGAGTGGCTGGTGGGTTTGAATTGCCAACCTCCTGGTTAGCAGTCAAATGCCTTAGACACTATGCCACCAGAGCTCCTTAGGAATCAACTTGATGGCAACGTTTTTTGTTTTTTTTTTAAAAAATACATGGAAAAGTTTCTTTTTTTCTTTTTCTAATATGTCTGTATTTTCTGGCTACCCTAACCAACAGCCACAAAGGAATGTCTTAGAATAATCTCTAATTTTCAGTTTGCATAAAAGACAGAATTTAGGGGGACTATATTATGTGAATAGAGTTGGAGTAATGGGAAAACACCTCCTTACTTGTCATTTCCCTACTAGCTCTCAATGCCAAATTCAAAGTAAACTTAAAGGACAAGTACCAACACCATTTGGGAATAACACTTGGTGGGGAATATTGAATGCCATCATCTTTATCAACAAGTTTTGAGCCCTTGAGCAGGGACTTATATGTTCCTTTGTTTTATGGAACCCCTCACTCCTGCCATTAGGCTTGTCTCTGTTGCTTTCTCTGTAATGAAATGACGTTTTACCTGCAATATAAAAACATTGCATATGCATTGTACACAATTGGGAAAATATGTAAAACATAGAAGGAAGGACAAATGGTGAAAGATTTTGGAGCATTAATTTTAATTTTTTCCTTATGACTTTTTTATTGATATGTTTTAAATATTTGAATTTTGTAATTGTATGCAATCAATGTGTTCTACATTTTCTACGTCTTTTATAAATAATGTTATTAGCATTTTAACAGGTTGAACGAACTCTGTAAATATAATTGTTCTGGTTGCCTTAATAGAAATATAGTTTGCTTAAGTATTCTTTCATCGTTAGTTACATTAGTCTCAGGTAAGTTATAAGCCAGTCTTTCTCTAACTTTGACCATGAATCTACATTAAAAAAAAAAAAAACATAATTAAGGATGAAATGAATCTCTATGTATAAAGCATTACCCAGGTTATATCTGTAGGCTAATTTTCAGAAGGAATTTTACTGGGTAAAAGTGTGAGAATGATTTTAGGCTTCTTAATAGATAATGTCAAATTGCAATATAAACTTCAGACTTTTGTTTTAATTTATGAAAAGCCTATATTGTTTCTGGAATGCAGATTATACTCATACTAGAATTCTTCATTGGAAATACAAAAATCATAAGTCAAAGGTAAGGAGCTCTGGTAGTGTAGTGCCTAAGGCACTTGACTGCTAACCAGAAGGCTGGTGGTTCAAACCCACCAGCCATCCTCGGAAGGAAGATTGGGTAATCTACTTCTATAGTGATACTGCCTCGGAAATCCAAGGAGGGGTCGCTATGAGTCCGGTCTGACTTGACAGCACATAACAACAAGTCAAAGGTGGGGTAATAATGTTGACCACATTTGTATTTATTGAAGAATATGTATATGTATTATTTAACAGAGAAAATTAGTCAGAGCCCTACTTGATGAACTAATGAACTGCTCATATTATTTAGTGAGCATCCAGAGCATGCATGTATCAGATCCTGTAAGGGTTGCATTGAGAAGGTACTGGAGCTACATACCCTGTTTTTAAGGAGGCTATTTTTAACTCAGTGGGATTAAAACATATCTCTATAAGATAACTCCAAGATGATTATGAATTTTGAGAAACCTACTGCCTTCTAAAAGGTTTTTATAGTGTGTCATTGCAATACTTTTCCATTTTTATATGTACTTTCAGAATAACTTTTTATAGCTCTTCTAAACACTTAATAGG